TTTCTTTTATTATTCATATGTGCATACAAGGCTTGGTTCATTTCTCCCCCCTGCCCCCACCCCCTCCCTTACCACCCACTCCGCCCCCTCCCGCTCCCCCCCCTCAATACCCAGCAGAAACTATTTTGCCCTTATCTCTAATTTTGTTGTAGAGAGAGTATAAGCAATAATAGGAAGGAACAAGGGGTTTTGCTGGTTGAGATAAGGATAGCTATACAGGGCATTGACTCACATTGATTTCCTGTGCGTGGGTGTTACCTTCTAGGTTAATTCTTTTTGATCTAACCTTTTCTCTAGTTCCTGGTCCCCTGTTCCTATTGGCCTCAGTTGCTTTTAAGGTATCTGCTTTAGTTTCTCTGCGTTAAGGGCAACAAATGCTAGCTAGTTTTTTAGGTGTCTTACCTATCCTCACCCCTCCCTTGTGTGCTCTCGCTTTTATCATGTGCTCATAGTCCAATCCCCTTGTTGTGTTTGAAAGGGGCACCCTCTTGACCTTCCTCAATTGAGCCATGGAAGCTCAATTTAAGGAGGGTATAGCTACAGTTTAGGGTTATTGCTTTTTTGCTACTGATGGAGGCACTGGGACAGGCCCACTGTTCTTTGGGAGTCCACAGGTTCACAGGACACACACTCCATGGACTAGATGCTAACTTCCCCTTCCCCCCTTTCTTCCCATGGGTCTGGGGGAAGGTCAGAGATAAATTGAATTTCTCACCCCATTCAAGGCTTATGTGTTTAGCCACCCACTAGTTTCTCCACTTGGATGGTGTGGTAAACCTCTGCTCACAGTCCTTCCAAACTGGTAAATGGAAACTCCAAAACTCCATGTTTCTATCTGCTCAGGTCCAAAGTCTTGGAATTCTTGATGGCTCTTTCCCTCATATCAATCAAGTGACTGTCTTGAAATATGGCCTCTTCAAATACCGCCATCTTTGTTGACCTACTGAACATCTCGCCCCTGGCTTACGGCAACAGACTCCTAAATGGCTTTCCTGCTCCATCCCTGGCCCCATATGGTCTATAGAGTCAGAATGGTGCAAAGTAAGAATCACACATGCAAGTGTTCTGCTCTAAACCTCTGGAGGACTTCCCATTTCATCCAGAGTCCTTCCAACTGCCTGCAAGGCCCAGCACGTCCATCAGCCCACCTCCATCCCTCTGACCCACTTTCCTACTTTCGTTCCCTCTTGCTTCTTCCACCCCAGCCCTTGCAGTTTCCACACACCAAGCACAGTCTCCTCAGGGCTTCTGTTCCCTAGACATCCATGGTTGGCTTCCTTATCTCGTTCAGATCTTTACTCAAATTTTCCCTTCTCAGGGAGGCCTTTTCTGCTCAACCCTCTGAAAACTGCCAACCTCTTACTCCATCCTAACATTCCAACCCTCCTTCCATTTTCTCTTCCTTCACCAACACCTGGTTCCCTGCAGAATGCTTGCTATTGGCTCCTTGTGCTACAGTGTAAGCTCCATAAGGGCAGCCCAACCTGTTGTGTTAAGTGCTGCACCCTAAGTGCTCGACTTAGTGCTCGACACCCAGTATGCTGTGTAATGCAAACTTGCTCTGGTCCCACTCACATCTGACATGCAAGTGCCCCGTGGAAGGACAAGGTCAAAGAGTAGAAAAGCAACTGTGATGGAGTCTACCTTTAGAGCAAAGATGATTAAGACGATGACGATTATCATTATTATTTTGGGGGGACTGGAGCTTGAACTCAGGGCCTACACCTTGAGCCACTCCACCAGCCCTTTTTTGTGTTGTGTATTTTAGAGAGAGGGTCTGGTGAACTACTTGGCCAGGCACACTTTGAACTGTGATCCTCCTGACTGCTGCCTCTTGAGTGGCTAGGATTAGAGGAGTGAGCTGCCAGAACCTGGCTATGATCGTTATTTGAGAAAGGGTTTTACTTTATAGTCTAAGTTAGCCTCAAACTCACTATATAGCCCAGGTTGGCCTAGAACTCACAATCCTTCTGCTTCAGCCTCCTGAGTGCTGGAATTACAGGTATGTACTACCATGTCCACCTCAAGAAATAACTAGTTGGGTGCCCATGCTTGTAATGCTAGCTACTTGAAAGGCCGAGATTGGGAGGATAGAGGTTCTAGGTCAACCTGGGCAAAAAAGAAAAAAAAAAAGTTCATGAGACCCACCCCCCCTCCCCAATCTCAATGTGAAAAAGCTTGGCACGGTGGTACATGCTTGTCATTCCAGCTATGGAGGGAAGCATAAATAGTAGGACTGTGGCCAACCTGGGCAAAAAAATGAGACCCTATCTCCAAAATAACTTTAGCAAAAATGATTAGAGTTGTGACTCAAGTGATAGATCACCTGCCTAGCAAATGTGAAGCCCTGAGTTTAAACCCTAGTACCGTAAAAACAAACAAAAAGTAGCCTAGTAGCCCTCAAATTGTCTCAGAACCCTCTGAGGGCTTGCTAAAACAGATTCCTGGGTCCTCCCCCTACATTTCTGGATCAGTGGTCTGGAGTGGGGCCTGAGAATCTGACTTTCTAATAAATTCCTGGCATTGCTGACGCTGTTGGCATGGACACTACCCAGAACTACTACTCAAGTCTTAAGAAGGCATACAGCAGACAATAGCCAAGGCAATACTCAGTCAAAAGAACAATGCTGGAGGTATCACAATACCTGACTTCAAACTATATTACAAAGCAATAACAATAAAAACAGCATGGTACTGGCACAAAAACAGACATGAAGACCAGTGGAACAGAATAGAGGACCCAGATATGAAGCCACACAACTATAACCAACTTGTTTTTGACAAGTTGATAGTAAAGAATGTGGGTAAGGAGCTGAAGAAAAAGGAATCTTCATACATTGCTGTAAAATGTAAAATGATACAGCCACTTTGGAAAACAGATTTGCAGTTCCTAAAGATTAAACAGAAAGCCGGGTGCTGTGACTCATGCCTGTATTCTTAGCTATTCAGGAGGCAGAGATCAGGAGGATCACAGTTCGAAGCCAACCTGGGCAAATAGTTCTCGAGACCCTATCTTGAAAAACCCTTCCCAAGGCAATACTCAGTCAAAAGAACAATGCAGGAGGTATCACAATACCTGACTTCAAACTATATTACAAAGCAATAACAATAAAAACAGCATGGTACTGGCACAAAAACAGACATGAAGACCAGTGGAACAGAATAGAGGATCCAGATATGAAGCCACACAACTATGAGCAACTTATCTTTGACAAAGGAGCTAAAAATATACGATGGAGAAATAGCAGCCTCTTCAACAAAAACTGCTGGGAAAACTGGTTAGCAGTCTGCAAAAAACTGAAACTAGATCCATGTATATCACCCTATACCAAGATTAACTCAAAATGGATCAAGGATCTTAATATCAGACCCCAAACTCTTAAGTTGATACAAGAAAGAGTAGGAAATACTCTGGAGTTAGTAGGTATAGGTAAGAACTTTCTCAATGAAACCCCAGCAGCACAGCAACTAAGAGATAGCATAGATAAATGGGACCTCATAAAACTAAAAAGCTTCTGCTCAACAAAAGAAATGGTCTCTAAACTGGGGAGAAAACCCACAGAGTGGGAGAAAATATTTGCCAGCTACACATCAGACAAAGGACTGATAGCCAGAATATATACGGAACTTAAAAAACTAAATTCTCCCAAAACTCATGAACCAATAAAGAAATGGGCAAGTGAACTAAACAGAACTTTCTCCAAAGAAGAAATTCAGATGGCCAAAAAACACATGAAAAAATGCTCACCATCTCTAGCAATAAAGGAAACGCAAATTAAAACCACACTAAGATTCCACCTCACCCCTGTTAGAATAGCCATCATCAGCAACACCACGAACAACAGGTGTTGGCGAGGATGCAGGGAAAAAGGAACCCTCATACACTGTTGGTGGGAATGTAAACTAGTACAACCACTCTGGAAAAAAATTTGGAGGCTACTTAAAAAGCTAAACATTGATCTACCATTTGATCCAGCAATACCACTCTTGGGGAAAATACCCAAAAGACTGTGACACAGGTTACTCCAGAGGCACCTGCACACCCATGTTTACTGCGGCACTATTCACAATAGCCAAGTTATGGAAACAGTCAAGATGCCCCACCACTGACGAATGGATTAAGAAAATGTGGTATCTATACACAATGGAATTTTATGCAGCCATGAAGAAGAACGAAATGTTATCATTCGCTGGTAAATGGATGGAATTGGAGAACATCATTCTGAGTGAGGTTAGCCTGGCCCAAAAGACCAAAAATCGTATGTTCTCTCTCATATGTGGACATTAGATCAAGGGCAAACACAACAAGGGGATTGGACTTTGAGCACATGATAAAAGCGAGAGCACACAAGGGAGGGGTGAGGATAGGTAAGACACCTAAAAAATTCGCTAGCATTTGTTGCCCTTAATGCAGAGAAACTAAAGCAGATACCTTAAAAGCAACTGAGGCCAATAGGAAAAGGGGACCAGGAACTAGAGAAAAGGTTAGATCACAAAGAATTAACCTAGAAGGTAACACACACCCACAGGAAATCAATGTGAGTCAACTCACTGTATAGCTATCCTTATCTCAACCAGGAACACTTGTTCCTTCCTATTATTGCCTATACTCTCTCTCCAACAAAATTAGAGATAAGAGCAAAATAGTTTATGCTGGGAATTGAGGGGGTGGGGGGGTGAGGAAGGGGGCGGAGTGGGTGGTAAGGGAGGGGGTGGGGGCACGGGGGAGAAATGACCCAAGCCTTGTATGCACATATGAATAATAAAACAATTAAAAAAAAAAGAAGACATACAGCAGGACAAGGTCTGTTTCCTCACAGTGCATCCCTTACACTTGGTATATCACAGAAATTCCAGAAATAGCTATCAACTGAATGACACTCCTCAAATTCATAGTTCAGAGCAGACTAGGTCTCTTAACTACCCAGTTGTCAGATAGGGGAGGCATGCAGTACTCACGGAGCAGGGCTAGGACAGCCCCCAGGATGGAGAGGATAAACCCGCCCTTCCAGGGTTTGGGGCAGGTCTCCACATGGCCATAGCAGTCACAAACAGTGGCCCTGATCACTGTTAGCTGTTCCTTGTTGCCATGATCGGACAGAGAAAGGTATACGTCATATATGTCTTGCTTCAGGAACTTTTTCAGGGACAAGGTCACTGTGTCTCCTGGAGTGGACAGATAATTGATTAGCCCGGGGAGGCCATAAGTGATGGAATAGAGTGTACCATGATAAAGGTTGCTCTGTAGCTGAGAAACAGAGAAATAGACCAGAAGTAGCCTTTGCCCAAGTGTCAAAAGTTAGTATTTGGGACAGGGGACATAGTCCAGTGACAGACCAATGCTCATCACGCAGGAGGTCTGGGCTCGATCCCTCGCCACCCTCTGCACTCCCTAATCCTTAGAGGAGGGGAAATTTCACTACCATAGAAAGTACTATAAGGGATAGAAAATAAATTCACTATTTTATTCTATTATTATTTTGGCGGGACTGGGGTTTGAACTCAAGGCTTCGTACTGAAAAAATGACTTCTAGGCCACAAGGGGTTGACAGGAGACCAACTTGGGCTTCCAAAAGGAAAGGTGATAGATATACCCACCCAATCACAGGAATCATAAAATGAGACAGTGAAGGCAGGTATCTGAAGCAGGTCTCCTGAGTCCTGAGCTAGGCTTAGCAACAGTAATAGAAGCTAGGCATTTGGTGTTTTGGGGACAGAATGCACTGAACCCTCATTTCCCTTCTGGGGGTCCTCAATCACAGCAGGGAAGAGCACTTATATCAAAGTGTGGCAGGTTCTCCAGGGGACTGCATCCACCCTTTGCATGTATCCTGGACCTCCATCCACTGAAGAGTAAGGTCCTTCTCCAGTCTGTGTGACAACTAAAAAATCCTGAAGGCTGAGAACCTTGAGCTGGTGGACTGGAAAGAGGTAGGACAAAGAGATGGGTGGGAATAGGAAGGTCAGGGTCTCTGGCAACAAACTTTGGCTTCAGCTTCTACTTCTTACCTAGTTTGAACCCTTGGGCATGCCACTTAACCTCCCAGGCCTTTTCTTCACCCATACATGGGGATGAAAACATGACCACAGAATTTGGAAGAAATAGTACATAAAGAAAAAAAGGAAAAGCATCTTTGCACAGTGCTGGGGTTCAACAAATGGTAGATAGCAGGGTATCATGATAGTCATGGTAAGTCAGACTGCTTGGGATAAAATCTTGGTGATGGCACTTACTTATTCATCCTCCTCCCTCCTTCCTTCCCACATCAGGTATTAGACTCGGGGCTTTGTGCGTGCTAAACACCTTCTCTACTATTTGCTACATCCCAGCCTCTTGCCAGCATTTTGTACCCACAATACCCCTGGCAAGATACTTAAGCTTCTGTCTGTAAACTTAGTTTCCTCATCTGTAAGGTGTGCGTGTGCGTGTGTGTGTGTGTGTGTGTGTGAGAGAGAGAGAGAGAGAGAGAGAGAGAGAGAGAGAGAGAGAGCGCCCTTCTTCCCAGGGCTGATGTGAGCATTACACATCCAGTGTGAGGTGTGAAGATGTGAAGTGTGTCTGGCCCACAGTGAGCCAACTCTGGGAGGGTCAGCTATTATGGCTGTGCTGGAGTCCTGACTCTTGCTTTGACATTGTACAAGTCACTCCTCCCTCTGGGCTTGGTTTTCTCATCTGTACAGGGAGACTGGATGGGCTAGAAAGGTCTTTAAGATCCTTCAGGAATTTCAAAGGCTTACACAAGGCTATTGAATAGTACTTGGTTGCCATTTTTGAGGAGACTGGTAACTGTGACCCATAAGATGCTAGAACAGGAATGTGTGTGGGTCCCAGTGTGGGGAAGATGTCCACCCAGGAAAGCTGCCATTCACCACTCTTACCTTTTTCATTGACCACTGCCTTCCAGTAGATGTCTGAGTCATGCATGAGCTGAGCCTGGAAAGGGGAGGAGTGGGGAGACAGGTCTTTGTCCGTGATGTTCAGCACTTGGGGCACAGGGCTTTGGTTGCAGATGATGATCTGACGGGGCTCAGGGATCGGGCCGTGGTCATTGATGTCCGCAAGTGTTAGCAGGAGGGTCCCTGTACCAGTAGCGGGAGGGCTCCCTGTTCATGATTACACATATGATCTTTTTTCAGTCTGTCTTCATTGGTGGACAAACCGATGTTGAACCCCCCACAAAGATCTACTTAATCCGCTTCAGGAAGACTCCTGTCTACTACCCGCTCTAACGTTAAGACCCGGGCTTCACTATAGATCTAACCAGCAATGGCAAACACTTGGCAATCCAGCCATGATTCTTATTTGTGTCTGTAGCAGACATTACTAACCAATCACAACACAGCTACAGCCACTGTATCCAGATGGCCAGGGTGATCTATCACAGAGCAAAATCTACAGGCTGCCTCAGGGCTAGGTCAGTGTTTGCTATTAGCTCAGGGAATCTTGGTCACTACATGTCAAGCAGAGGCAGCAATGATGTCATAAACCCCTACTGGTCATGGTGTGACATCACTAATCAATCATGGCACTTTCCAGGCAGTCTCGATTAGTCAACCACAAAAGATTAAACTGGAGGTCAGTTCAAGGTTCAGTGAACCAAGTACTTAGGTTGATGGGAATCTTCAGGACCTCTCCTGACCCTTGAGTTTTAGGCAAATCAGAAGTCATCCTAGGCAAACTTTTTACTCCAGACTGGTTTGCTGTGCTTTTCCCATCATCCTCTGCTTTGGAAGGTACAAATTATGTCTTGTGACCTGACCCAAAGGTGTCCTGTGTGCAAGGCTGGGAGAAAGCTCTCACCATTGTCTGTGGCTAAGACCATGACTTCATAGACGTTGTTCCTCACAAACTGTTCATCCTCTCGGTCTAACATGCCTGCGGCAGTGACCTGCCCGCTCTCTGGGTCCATTGCCAGCCACCCTGCTGGGTCTCTCAGGATGTGATAGCTGTGGAGGAGAAGTTGAGGAGAGTCATATCCAGCATATTCAGAATTCCTTCTCAGGCCAGCAGCAGATGGTCTCTGGGTTCCTCAAAGGTTCATCGTTTTTTTTGTTTTGTTTTGTTTTGCCAGTACTGAGGTTTGAGCTCTTCACTCTTACTCGGCAGGTGTTCTATGACCTGAGCCATGCCTCCAACACTGCATTTCACTGTAAACAGAGCCTACAGCATCTTGGAGGCCCAGTAGGGATGCATGAGTGAAGAGAGGGTACACCTGGCCCCTGAACCCCTAATCAGAGCCCTCAGCCTCGAGCATGGCAAGAGATATCCAGTGCAAGGGTGATATTCAAAACATCAAACAATCTTTATGGTAATTTGCATGCACAACCCATTTAACTGTAGCCGTGTCTCAGCTGACTTGGAGCCCAGTCCCCGAGTACCTGATCTTCTGATCCTCCTTGTCAGGATCCTGTGCTGTGTAGATGCAGACAGCCTCCCCGACAGAGATCCCTTCCTGGGCCTCAATGACTTTGGAGGGTGGGACAAACACGGGGGCCTCATTCACATCTTCCACGTGTACCACTATGGTGGCTGTGGAGGTTGGGAGCTTCACCACAAAAGGAGTCTCATTGGTCACTTCTATGTACAAAGTGTGCTGGTTTTGGGTCTCAAAATCCAAGCCCTAGGGGAAAAGAAGGAACTGAACCTACCATTTTGTAAGGGGACTTGTATGTGTCCGAAGGGCCACAGTGAGGGGACTGAGGCTCCTCCCAGCAAGAATCCATGCCTTCCCTGTCCCAAAAAGCCTCCTCCAAGTAAACATCTAGTGTGGCTTCTCACACCATCCCAAAGGCAACTGGCTTAGTAAGGCCTGGAACACTGGTTCCCAGTGGGGTGGAACCAGGTAACATCAGTCTAGGGTGTGTCTGGGAAACTTATAGGGGCATTCTGGACATTATTACTGAGGGTGCCTTTGGCATCTACAGGCTGGGGCAGGGATGCTGTGTCCCATGTCCAATGTTACTTGCCTATACGTTCCTTGTAGTTCATACATTCCTGGGTGTGAAAAACTTGTTTAGAATTAGTCAAGAACATGTTTTACATATAAACCAAGTTTTTGGTGTGGTTTTAATATATACTGAATTGTCTAGGAATGCAATTTCTGAGAGGAGCTGTAATTGAATTTGTGAAGGACTTTTGCAGGAGTTGTTTGTTCACTGCTTTGAAAAGCCATCAATACCAGCTGTGGTGTGTGTTGCCAGGGCAACACACAGCATCCACTGCATCTGGGTGGCTCTACAAACAGATGCGAGTAACTAACTGCTTCACTAGGTTTTCTCTCTTTCTTTCTTGAGACCTGTAACCAAGGCTGTCCTTACTTGTGATCCTCCTGCCTCAGTCTCCAGATCCTTTACTATGTTTTCTAGGGTAGTTGTGCCCCAAAATTCACACACCAAAATGTTTTATATTATGTAGTTTTTTCCTGTAAATTTTCCTTTATTTTGTAGTTGAAGTATTCTGTTTTTCTTTTCTTTTCTTTCTGTACTTTAATGCCTGTGCATGGTTGGCAAACTTCTACCACTGAGCTATATCCCCAGTTTATTTTTCTAGAAAGTATGAGTTAGCTAAGTTATATTATAAGTGAACTTCACACTTCACACTAAAAAGGAGCATTACAAAGTATTTGCAGAGAAAAGAGGACAGTGAATCTGAGGCAGTCTTTAAAGTATATGTAAAACCCTGCTTTTCAAACTAGGCCCCCCCCCCCACTTTTTTTTTTTTTTGGTGGTACTGGGGGTTTGGGGTTTGAAATCAGGGCTTCCTACTTGCAAAGTAGGCCCTCTATCACTTGAGCCACACCTCTAGTCCATTTTTCTCTGGTTATTTTCGAAATGGGGCCTCATAAACTATTTACCTAAGTAAATAGTTGAATTGTGATCCTCCTGATCTCAGCCTCCCAAGGGATTATAGGTGTGAATCATTGGTGCCTGGCGAGGCCATTTTTTACAGTAAACCAGAATTTAAAAGAAAGGCCATCTTTGAGAAGCATCAAAAAAATTTTTTTTGGAACAGTCTTACCATATAGCTCAGGTTGGCCTCAAACTCACTTGTGATTCTCCTGCTTCAGTCTCCCCCATGCTGGAATTACAGGCATGTGCCACCACAGTTGTCTCTTTTTCTCCGCCCCCCCCAGGTTTGTTTTTGTTTTGTTTGGTAGTAGTAGAGAGGTTTGAATTCAGAGCCTCACGCTTGCTAGGCAGGCACTCTACCTGCTTGAGCCATACTTCCAGCCTTTTTGTTCTGGTTATATTGGAAATAGGGTTTTGCTTTTTGCCTAGGTTGGCTGAAACTGTGATCTTCCCAGTGATCCTCCTATTTTATGCTTACCAGTATTGCTGGGATGAAAGGCACATGTCATACTTGCTCCCTCCACCCCCACATGGGGTCTTAAGAACTTTTTTTTGCCTGGGCTGGCTTCAAACCACAATCCTCTAGACCTCAGTCTCTCAATTGCTAGGATTATAGGCAATGCACCTCCAATGCCTGGCATGAAGTATCAATTTTATTCTAAGACTTTTTAACCCAACCAGTGTCCTATACCCTGATAAAAACAATTCAAAAGGTAAGAAAAAAAACTTTGGTGTAGGGCCTTATACGTAATCCCCCCAGAACCCTCTAGCAAAAGAAAGACTTTTTGAGGGGCAAGATGTGCCTACTGACTATTTTAAACTTTTTACTACTTGAACACTTAGATACTTGTTATAGAGTAAGTGAGCCTGATTGCAGTAAAGCCGAGCCCCTCTGTGGGAGGAGCCTGGTGGCAGCCTAGGGACCCTGGGCTCCCAGAGGAGGGGCCCCACTCTTCTGCTACAGCTAGACCAGCAATTCTTACCTGTTTATGAACTAAGCCCCGGGTTAAGGTTCAGTTTGAACACCAGGATGTCTCAACACAAGAGTGAGGGAACAGGACTGGAAGCCACTGGCCTGATGCAGTCTTGGTAAACAGCCCAATATAAGTGGCCTGAAGCAGGTGGGCAGCCCCTTGTTCTGAAGGCTACAGACCCGGGTGCCCAGGTGTGGCCTTTGCCTAAAGCCCAAATGCACTCACCTTCTTGGTTGTCAGGATGCCCTGGTTGCTTTCAGGGTGTGTGGTGATGGTAAAATGGTCCCCATCATCTCCTCCCACGATACGGTAGGTGGCCTGCCATGCTGGTGAGTTGGGAGCATCCAGATCAGTCACTGTCAATCTCTGTACCTCATAATCCACTGCATTCTCAGGCACCCGGGCCTCGTACTGTTAGAGTGGGGAACAGCATAATCAGAGAGGAGACACTGACCATCCTGAGAGGATGTTCCACCCTTCAGTGGCCATGCACCCTCCACCCCACTTCTGGGGAGCCCCATGGCCTCTACCCTTTTCTGGACCACAACCCTCCCCCTCCCACCCAGCAGGATTTCAGGGCACACACAGCTACAGAATGTCCTGAGCATCAGCTGTGGGGGTAGACCATGCCAGCCTTGGGCCAAGTCTCCTTTTCCCCTCAGGGCCTGATGGTCAGAACCCTCAGTGGCCTGGGTGTCCAAGTTCCAGCCCTAGCCACGCACCACTTATCCAGCAGAGATCAGAAGGCCGGGAGAAAGGCATGTGCCTGACCGTGCTGGGGCATAGAACTTTTGTGAAAGTTTGGGAGCAGGTGGCAAGAACTGGAAGATCAGCTGCTCAGAACAATTTTTTTTTTTGGGGGGGGCAGTCCTGGGGCTTGAACTTAGGGCCTCACATTTGCTAGGCAAATGTTTTACCACTCGAACTACTCTGCCAGCCCTGTTTTTTGTGTTGTTTTTTCGAGATAGGGTATCTCAAACTTTTTGCCTCAGGCTGGCTTCAAACCATGACCCTCCCGATTTCTGCCTCCTAAGTAGCTAGGATTACAGATGTGAGCCACTGGCGCCTGGCATCAGAACAAATTTTTAATCAGGTCTAAATAACGTTCAGCAGCCAGATCTGTCTATGGATGGGGGGTGAGGTGGGGGTGGGATGGACATGTCACCTTGGCAGGCACTGAGTCTTCTGTCACTGGAGGTGACCTGGGGGAAGGTGGGCAGGTACAGGTGAATGGTAAATACGTTCTCATATTAGCACAATTTTCATCTCAAGCACCTTTCACCAGGATGGTGTTAGGACCTGTACATACATCATTTCTTTTAAAACTCAGAATGATGCAGTGAGTATTTTATCACTGTCTCCATTTCACAGATGAAGAAATGAAGCACAGAGGGGTTAGGTTTTTGCCTCAGGTCACACAGTCAGCAAGGGGCAGGATTGGCAATCAAAGCCATGTAGGCTAGTTTGGTTTCGTGAGAAAGGAAGAAACCTCAGTCCTTCATTAGCGATGAGAGAAGAAGGAAGGAAGGAAGGAGTGTTACCTTCTGGGGCTCAAACATGGGAGCATTGTCATTGGCATCGAGGATTTCCACTGTCGCTATTGCTGTGGTGGTGGACCCATCCCCGTCCATGTCTGTAGCCTGGATGGTCAGTGTGTACTCGGGGACTTTCTAGGGAGAAAGGGGAAGCCCAATGAGGGTCTAGTCTGCAGAGTCGCTCACCCGGGCTCCATCAAGCATGGCCTTAGGAGAGACGGAGTGCTCCTCACTCTCACAGCGTTCCTTCCACTCCTTGGCCCACCCCTACTCCTGCCAGGGAGAACAGAAGGGGGGAACTGCAGGTCCCAACAGCTTCTCAAGGTCTGTCCTAGGGATATTTGGGCACTGGCCCCTGACCTTCAGCTGCTCCACATGGGGGCTCTGAACAGGGATCTGGGCACAGATATTAATTAGGAAACAGAAGGCAGCTCCAGTATCCATGGAGCTCATTTCACTTTTGTGGCACACTGGGGACCAGTGTGGGCAATGTGCACACTAAGTGAGCCATTCCGAGAGGGAATGAGAAAACCTCTGGAAAATATCAAAAGTCTGCATTTTACAGCTGCCTCCTCAGCCTCAGAGGGGATCTGGTGGGAGGCCAAGGGCCCAAGGGAGCTGCAGGATGTCAGCAAGTGAACCCAGCAGCAGCTTTCCCTGCTGACTAGGATCCCACTGTTCTGCTTTGACCTTGGAGCATGGATGGGAGCTTCCACTGAGAGGCAGTCCCCAGCCTGGGCAAGCCTGGGTGGGCAGCACTTGCCCCAGGCCACTCACCTCCCGGTCCAGGCCACTGGAGATGACGCTGATGGTGCCTGTGCTCCGGTGGACAGTAAACATGAGGTCGTGTGGGTCCTGTGGTTCTTGGTTATGGATGGAGTAAGCGACCACCCCATTGTAGGTGTTGATAGCATCGTCCTCATCTGTGGCTGTCACCTGCATCACAGAAGTGCCTGGAGAGGAGGGAAAAGTGAGTATTTTTCTTTTTGATGGGACTAGGGTTTGAACTCAGGCCCTCACATTTACAAAGCAGGTGCTCTACCTCTGTGTGAGTGTGTGAGAGTGTGTGTGTGTGTGTGTGTGTTCTGGGTTTAAGCTCAGGGATTCATGCTTGCTAGGCAGGTGCTCTACTGCTTGAACCACACCTCCAGTCTATTTTGCTCTAGTTATTTTGGAGATGGGGGTCTCATGAACTATTTGCCTAGGCTGGGCTCAATCTCCAGTGATTCTCCCAGACTCAGTCTCCAAAGTAGCTAGGATTACAGGTGTGAGCAACCAGCACGTGACCGAGCATCTTTCACTCCCACCTCCAACTCCAGCTTGGCCCACTTCTGGAACTCTGAGTGGTTCTGCCCTGCTCATCAGCTTGGACCCATCCTCTACTCCATGGCAGAGTACTAGTTGGAGCCCATTTTCCATTCTCCCTTCCTTTCTTAGAAATGCCATCATTTTAGACTGAGCACAGGATCCCTGGAGCAGAACACTATTTCCCATCCCTCTTGAAACTCAATTGTGATGAATGAGATATAAAACTTTGGGGGAAGTATTTTTACAAATATGGATTTGTTCTTCCCACTCCTTCCCTCTTTCAGATGTAATGTCTGGAGCTCCAGAAGCCACCATGAGGTAACCTTGTGAACAGATCAAGACAGAAGCAACCTAGGCCTCTAACCCTATGAGGCATTTCAACCTGGACCAATCACCTCTAGGCTTCCTGAATGTAAGGAGGGAAAAAAAGAAAAGTTTCTTCTTAATAAGATTATTATTATTATTATTATTACAGTACTGGGGTTTGAACTCAGGGCCTTCACCTTGAGCCATCATTCCACTAGCCCTATTTTTGTGACTGGTTTTCAAGATAGGTTCTCATGAACCATTTGCCCTGGCTGACTTCAAACTGTGATCCTCCTGATCTCCACCTCCTGAGTAACTGAGATTACAGGCGTGGCACCAGTACCCAGCTTATTAAGATTATTTTTAGCAGCCAGGCATGGTGGTACACAACTGTAATCCCAGTCCTAGGGAGGCTGAGGCACGAAGATTTTGAGCTTGAGGCCAGCCCAGGCTATATTGCTAGATCCTCTCAACAAACCAAACCAAGGACTGGAGACATGGCTCAAGCACGAAGCCCCGAGTTCAAACCCCAGTACTGCAAACAATAGCCAACAAAACCCAAAAATGTTATGGTGTAAATTTCTGTTATTGGCAGTCTAATCAACTCACACATCTCTGAAACTCTCCACTACTCAGAGGGAAGAAAAGGAGGAACCTCCCGTGTCCCTAGTGCTTCCCTTTGAGGTCATAAATATGTATCTATCACCCTCATCATCTGAGGGTCCCCCACTGCCCTCTTCTCCAGTCCTGGCATTTATTTTTGGTCTCTGTAAGCAATGTTCTAACCTTCCCAGCCCTGGCTGCTTCCTCTGTAAAGCTGCCTTCACTGAAGAATGTCTGGTCAGGTGCTTCATACTACATACAAGTTCTCTTTTTCTTTCTTCTCTTTCTCCCTTCTTTAATTCCTTCCCCTCTCTCTCCCCTCTCTTTTCTCTCTTTCTTTTGTGGTGCTGGACATTCAACCCAGGGCCTGGCATATGCTAAGCACATGCTTTACCACTAAGCCACACCCTCAGCTGTACACACGCTGTTTCTAATCTTTGTAATTCTTCAAGGCTGGTTATTATTTCCATTTTTAGATGAGATGATTGAGGCTCAGAGGCCAAGAACACGTCCAGGGTTACAGCCAGTAAAGAGGCAAAGTCAAGATTCAAATCTTGGTCATTGTAGCTCCCCAGCTAGGGGTTCCAATCTTGGCTGATCCTGGGAAAGCCTCCCAGGGCTCTACTCCAGGGTCAGGCTTCCTCAGGAATCTTGGGGTGAAGTGGAGAATCTAGCTTTGTAAGAAAAGCCCACATAATTTGATGCACAGCCACAGAAATCAGGGCTGGGGGGGATTTCTAGCACCTAAGGGCTGGGCTGACTACCTCCTAGTGGTTCTAGACATTGACTTAAAGCTAGGTCTGGGTACAGCAGACCAGTAACAATCCTCCCCTCCCCAATCCTTTTTTGTTTTTTAAATGATGGTACTGGGGGTTGAATTCAGGGCCTTATGCTTGCTAGGCAGGTGCTGTACCACTTAAGCCATGACCTCAGCCCTTTTTGCTTTGGTTATTTTTGAGAAAGGGTGTGGCATTTTGCCCAGGTAGGCCTGGACTGAGACCCTCCTATTAATGTTTCCTATATAGCTGAGATGACAAGTAGGTGCCATCACACTCAGTTTTTTATTGGTTGAGATGGGGTCTCACAAACTTTAAGCCTAGGCTGGCCTTGAACTACGATCCTCCCAATCTCCATCTCCTGAGTAGCTAGGACTACAGGTGTGAGCCACTTCACCTGACTCCTTCCCAATGCTCTTACCAGGCAGTACCCCCTCCAAGACACTTCCTCTGAAGACATCCTGGGTGAACTTTGGTTTGTGGTCATTCTGATCTGTCACGATGATGGAGATGTTCATGGGATCCTCCACTGAGGCACCATTCTCAGACACAGCATGGCCAAAAAGCTGTGGGTACAGAGGTCTGGGGTCAGCCTGGTACCATCCTCCCCGCCAGGCCTCAGGGCCCACCTTGGAGAGGACGTTACATTGGGTACTGAAGGATACGTGCCTCATACTTGGCAATCTTCTCCCGGTCCAATGGCTTATTCAGCAACAACCAGCCTGTCTCCTTCTCTATGGTGAAGACACCCTCGGGAGGGCTGTCTGCGCCAGGCCCTGTGATGCTGTAGAAAATCTTGGTGCCTCTGTCCTTATTAGATTTGAGCTGGAAGCAAAATAAAGCAGCGGCTGACGAAGTGACAAACACCTCATGACTACAGCAAAGAACCCTCTGTAGACTCAGCACTTTGCAGCAAGAGACCTCACTTTCAGGCCTTTGATTGGGTCCCTGCAGTCACCAATGATTTCCAGTCAGAAGGGATGGTCATACCTGATTCAGCCTCTGCGGGAAGGGACCCTTGCCATTCTCAGGGACAGATATTGGTGGAACAACCCATTCCCTCTTGCGTCTTCGTAAGATGTGTTTGGCTAGAGAAATCTTTGCTGCCTTCCTTTCCTGTAAGGAGAGAAGACTCCTTATTCTGCACATGCAGAGATGGAATGAACACAACATCCTTCTACGTACAGGAATTAAGGACGAGGAGTGAGACCAACATGGGTCTATGCAAAAGGAGACTTAGGAATAATCTAAGTGTCCACTCAGAGAGAAGGACCATATGCTACAGCCACCCACATAAAGGAATAGCGTGTGGCTCTAAAAAATGAGGAATAAGGATGAAAGCTATGGGGCGAGAAAGGAAGCTCTCTGATGTACACTGTCAAGTGAAAGATCAGGGCACAAACAGCTTAATATAGTTTAGAATTTTATTTAACAAGCACATCGTGCTTATTACATGCCAGGCATTATTCTTTTGTATAAGAGGGTAGGAAAATAAGATCATATTTTTATATTTCTTTTTTTTTTTTTTTTTTTTTGCAGTACTGAGGTTTGAACTTAGGGTCTCATGCTTGCTAGGTAGGTGCTCTACCACTTGAGCCACTCTGCCAGCCATTTTTTTGTGTTGGGTATTTTCAAGATAGACTTTGTGAACTATTTGCCTGGGCTGGCTTCAAACCAGTCCGTTCATATGTTCTTATTGCAGATAAAACCTGCAATGATACAGAAAAAACTAAGAACAGTGTTACCTGTGGGAAGGGGACACTTATTGCAATGATGTAAGATATTGTTAAGAGCAAAAAAGAAAGGTACAGATTCACGTGAATAGCACATTAGCTTTTGCATAAACGAGGAAAACATCTGTTATTTTGTTGTTGTTTTGTCCATCGAGGCATTTTATTTGTATGTATGTCTTACATCCCTAGAAAAAGAATCCCAGGATTTTCCCCTCCTGTGTGTTTTTGTCTTGCTTCTTCATGGTCCATGATGCCTGCTGAGGTTGTCAATATAATGAAACCAAACTGATGGGATAGGAGAGCTTATTCTGCCATTTTTCTAGATCTTTGAGCTACACATCAAATCTGAGGTTGGTCACTCCACACTTGTTTAACCTGCCTGTGAGGTTCACAACAATTTTTCCAGCTCCTTGATCATCAATAATTTCAAATTCACCAATATAACGATGCTTCGTCATCACCGTCAGAAAGCAGACGATGCCTTTATAGCCTGGGCTAATGGAGACCTGGCATTTGCCTCTCTTCTTAACATGCTGCTGTGCTTGAGAGCATCAGCCAGCATGCTCACGTGCACCAGGATGGTGGTAAGGAAAGATGGTGGAAAAGCCATTGTTTTCTGTGGTACTGGCTGGGGTTTGAACTCAGGGCCTCAACTTGAGCCATGCCTCCAGCCCTTTTTTGCTTTAATTATTTTTCAGATAGGGTCCTTTTTTATTTTTAGTTTTTGCCTGCATCCAGACTCAAACCAAGATACTCCTACCTTTGCCTCCCATGGAGGCTGGAATCACAGATGTGCACCATGCCTAGCTTACTGGTTGAGATGGGTGTCGCTAACTCTTTGCAAAGTCTGGCCTTGAACCACAATCCTCCTGAGTAGCTGGAATTACAGGCATCAGCAAGCACTGTGCCTGGCCCTATTTTTATACCTGTATATACATAAAACATATAACCTATCTAAATAGATATGAAATACACAGATGTAAATTCTGGAGGAAAGAACCTGGCAACAGAGATTATCTGTGTCTTCTCTCAGAGAGGTGAGAGGGCTTCAGGAAGATGGAGACAAAAATTTCTTTTTTACATTTTGTAATATTTAAAAAAATATTTTTGAACCATGTGGCTATATTAGCTATTCAAAAAATTAAAAGAAACCAAGAAGTGTGATCAGGGCTGGTGGAGTGGTTCAAGTGCCAAAGTGCCTGCCTAGCAAGCATTAGGCCCTGAGTTCAAACCCCAATACTGCCAAAAAAAAAAAAAAAAAAGTGTGGCTAAGTGCCACAGGTCTGCCTTTCTAGCAGATCACGGGACTGTTAATCCTGCACTGGCATTCCACTGGATTTCACTTGGTGTTAGCAGGACCATAGGCACCCCTACTGAAGAGCTGCAGTCACTGCCCTTCTCTGATCAGCACTGGTGTTCACAGCTGGGTGGCTGAGGGCTAAGGCCACCTCCTTGAAAGAGTTAACTTGACTCACAACAGCTATAGTAACTAAGGACTCTTGCCACGCAGCAGTCTGGACATACATGCAGAACATCTTCCATCTGTCCTGAGGGTGACCTGGTGCTTTACCTGGACTGTTCCGCTGTTCAGCACAGTGAAGTCATTATCAGTGCCAAGTAGAGCCAGCTGTTGTCCAGGGCAGCCAGTGACCGCTACTGTAGGGAAGGGAGGAAGAAGGCATTAGAAAGGAGGGGATTTCTGAAAGCTACCTCAGGAGAAACAAGACCTGACAAGAGTCCCTGACTGCATCAAAGACTGTTACCAAGCGACTACACATGGAGGACTTGACTTACTTCCTCTGACCAGCAGGTGTCTAAGAAGACTCAGATGGGGCTTACTACATTTGCTCTTAAGAGGAAGAACCACCTTGTGGTCAGTTTGTGGGTTCAGTCTTCTTTGTTCATAGTGACATTAGCTCCAGGTAGCCTCCTGAGACATAGGGTTGAGTCAAGGTCACAGCTAGGTGGAAGATTTTTCTGGAGATCCCAAGTCCATGGATATACAACATGCACCCTGGACAACCTCTGATTATTTCAGTTTGTCAGAGGTTCCTTCTGAATCATTAGGTCACCTTTTAAACAAGCACATTTTTTTTTTTTTTTAACTCTAGGCTAGTTTTGAACTCAGATTCTTCTGCCTCAGGCTCCCTAGTGCTAGAATGCAGGAGCCACCATGCCTGGCTTGCACAGCATTTTTTTTTTTTTTGAGGGGGGGGAGGTGGTACTGGGGTTTGAACTCAGGGCCTTGTGCTTACTAGGCAGGTTAGCAAGCCACTCCACCAGCCCTAAACAAGCACTCCTGAGTTAATAACTACCTGTTACCAGACAGAGATGAGGTTGTCTTTTCCTTACAACCACCCTGCCGAGGCAGGTAATAGCCACTCCTTCCCCTAATTTTTTGTGGTGCTGGGAACAGAACCCAGGACATTGTACAAGCCAGGTAAGTGCTCTACCACTGAGCCACATACCCTGTCCAAGAACGTGGGGAAATTGGAACCCTCCTGCATTGCTGGGGGGGTGGGAAATGGTGCAGTCACTGTGGAAAACGGTTTGGCAGAAAGTCAAATGTAGAATTACTATGTGACCCAGAAGTTTCACTGCTAGGTACGAGCCCAAAAGAACTGAAAGGGGACTCAGATACCTGTACACAGATTTTCATAGCAGCATTATTCACAGTAGCAAAGGTGAAAAACACCCAGGTGTCCATTGAGAGAGGACAGATAAACATAACGTGGTCTGCACACACAAAGGAATATTATTGAGCTTTAAAAGGAATAGAGTTCTAAAAAAAAAAAAAAAAAGAAGAATAAAATTCTGACACTCACTATGTTATATTAATGCACCTTGAATACATTATGCTAGAGCCGAGGATGCAGCTAAGCACTACAGAGCACATGTGAGGCCGTGGGTTCCATCCTAAGCACCAAAACAATTTTTCAATTAGAAAAATATGCTAAGTGAAATTAGTCACAAAAGGACAAATACTATATGATTCCACTTATGTGAGGTGCCGCAGATAGTCAAATTCATATGGGCAGAAGGTAAAGATTACACAGGGCTAGAGAGGGGGAAGGGAAGATGCTGTGGAGTAGGTATAGGATTTCAGTTTTGCATGATGAAAAAGTTCTGGAGCCCATTTATGGTGATGGTTGCCCACCACTGTGAATGCTTACTGAATTGTTTACTTACAAATGGTTAAAGTGGTAACTTTATGTTATGCATATGCTACCACACACACAAAAGTAGAAGTGTGCCATGGGAGTGTAAAATGAAACAATGACTTAAAGCAGTTTGGTAATATGTACTGAAACTAAACATACACATTCCCCAAGACCCAACAAAAATATATTCACCCAAAGACAGGCACAATAATGCTCATGACAGTACTATCTTTTATGCCTAAAATTTGGAAACAGGTAATTAAGGCAGAAAGGAGGAAAACATTGTGGCATATGCCCATATGGAAATAAATTCATTCACACAACACGGGCAAATCTGATACATGCTAGGTTGAGCAGTAGAAGCCAGATAAGAAGGGATATATATGTGTATGTATGTGTGTATATATATATATATTTTAACACACACACACACACACACATTAGTAGGGAAAGAAATATAATTTCCCCTTTATCCTCATAAGTTTGTAGTTGAAACAGATCCCTGTAACAAGACACAGATTACCGAGAGAGAAATAAGCAAGTTTATTGAGTGCAGTTGTGAGAAACCACAATGAAAGGTAACTCAAAGCAGTGGCATAGAACTCTGGCTTTTGTACAAAAAATTTTAGAGAAATGACAAAACAAAAGAAAGCAGTCACAGGCTTCCAGAGGTAAGAAGCTGTGCAAAGTAAATTCATGGGAGTAAACTAATGGAGGGAGGCTTGTCTGGAGACTCCTCAGGCGCTGTCTCTCAGTGATAAGAGTTGTCTCCAGTAAGAATTTATGTGCTTTCTGGGGAGGGTAGAAAGAGCTCTTCTGCTCTTTTGCTTCTGTTTATTTATATTTTTTTTCTTTGCAAGATGCTGGGGATTCTTGCACGTGCGAGGCAATTGTTCTACCATTAAGCTGCATCCCTAGCCCTCTTTCTTGCTCCTTAATTACCTTTTGCTCAAAAAAAAAAAAAAAAAAAGTCAAAGAGGCATATCCTGGCGGCAACACATTCTCGTTTTCTTTAGCTTAATTCTACTGTTGTGAAGTTCAAAAACAGACAAAGCTTATTAGTAAGATAGCCCAGTCTAGTAAGCACAGGTCCTGAGTTCAATCCTTCAGTACTGCTTTAAAAAAAAGAAAAAGTTAAGATATTGACCATCTTTCAAGGAAAGGGGTCATGAATGGAAGTTGTAGAAGGGCTTAAGAACCATCAAGAAATCCCTTCAGCTCCTTGACAGTGCCAGCTCTCCAGAGCCCAAGCAAGAGCTCACGCATCCAGGCAGGATCCTCTGTGGGAAGGCTGGAATGTGCCTGTGAGAGACAGAAGACTGCTTAGAGGCCAGCCCTGCCTCCTTGACGACATCCCCACCGAGGATCCTGGGCTGTGATGTCCTTTGCCAGGGGAAGAAAGGGAGAAGGGATCAAGGCCTGATTCAGCTCAAGAGGACCCAAGGGCCCTTGAGATCCCCAGGGTGGCCATGCCCTTGATTCTAGCACACACCTTTGTAGTCTCATCCTATGGGAATCTTGCCTGGCCTTAATACTAGCAGGACAAGGAGTGAGAGGTGGCAAAGGTTAAATCATCTTAATATAAGGCAAAAGTTAAGTGACTATGGGGCACTCGATCACAGGTGACTTACACAGCTATGCAAAGTGATACTCAGAGTCTTAAAATTATGCAGGGAAGTTCTTGAGCTATGAAGTAAAACAAAATAAACAGAACACAACTTATTTTGAAGTCCATGACTACCTACTAACAACTTGTTTTCCTAGATTTTCTATAGGCTGAAATCTTCTCTTAACATGAATTCTGGTGTCCCCTCACCCCCAGCCATGTTTAGCCCTAACTACCAATACTTACAGTGTAAGTATATTTTGAAGATAGGGTTTATCTCTCCCTTTCTCTCTCTCTCTCTCTCTCTCTTTTGGTGGGACTGGGGTTTGAACTCAGGCCTTCGTATTTGCAAAGCTGGCACTCTACTGCTTAAGTCACATCTGCAGCCCAGTTTTTCTCTGGTTATTTTGGAGATGGAGTCCTATTTGCTTGGGCTGTCTTGAACAACGATCCTCCCATTCTCAGCCTCCCAAGCAGCTATGATTACAGGCATGAGCCACCAATGCCTAGCTAGTAAGTAAGTTCAAATAAGGGCAGGAGGGTGAGCTCTATTCCACTTTGACTAATATCCTCAGAAGAAAAGGAAACTTGAACACAGATACAGCCAAGTAGAATGGCCTCAAAAGAAACCAACCCTCCTCAAACCTGAATCTTAGACCTTTAGCCTCCAAAATTGTGAGAAAATAAACTTCTGCTGAAGCCACCTCTACCCGTGGCACTTTGTAGACAGTCCCAGCAAACATATTTCAGTCTCAAAAGTCAGGAATCCCTCCCCTTAGGAATTATTTGTTAATAGCTAATATCTTCATACTTTCCTACTTAACATTCACCAAGCAACTTATGACTAGGTTAATGCCTACTTTCTAGATTGGGAAACTGAGAGGTCAAAAAAGTTCATGGAAGTTGCATAGCTAGGCAATGAAAAAGCTAGGGGTGATCCCCAGACCCGTCTGGAGCCTGAGTCATTTCCTTAACCACGCTGGTTATCCATGGTTATATGGTCTTTCTGATGTATCTGAGGGCTTTCAGCCTCAGAAGGAGAGTTCTTGCTCTCCTTCCACATTTATGGAAATAACAGGGGTTGATTTTTAAAGGCTGAGGAAGGCAGAGTGGTATCTTGTGAATGACTCTAGCCTTGAGGGTCACAGTAGTCCCTCCACCTACAGCTGTGAAGATTAAAAGAGAATAAACATGAAGGACTGATTTAGCAAGGTGACAGGTGTGTAGGCAGCATTCTGGGAGGGCCTCCTGGTCATGTGACTAGTGGGGACTGAGACCCCCATTCTTACGCAAGTGCTGATGTGATCCTATGTGACTGCCGGGAAATCCTGGTTAAGGTGCTTGCATTCTCTATGCCCCAGAATCAGTTGTTTGCTGAAGCTTTGAACCTGAGTTCTGCTTTCCCTTGGCTTAAAAGAAAAGCACGTTAGAAAGACATTCAAGATATAGGAGGATCAGGGACACTTTCTTCTTGACACAATAAGAAGACAGAAGCAAAGACCTAAATTCCCTAGGTGGTTCGGTGTTAAGCTGTGCTAAGAACCCATGTAAAAATCTTTTAAAAATCTGCCTTAGGCATGTAACATGTTGTGTCTTTTTTTTTTCTTATTTGTTACCATTACTATTACTATTATTATTTTGGGAGTATTGGAGTTTGAACTCAGGGCCTCATGCTTGCTCTACTGCTTGAGCCACTTCGCCACCCTTTTATGTGTTGTGTTATTTTTGAGATGGGGTCTCACAAACTATTTGCCTAGGCTGGTTCAAACTTCGACCCTCCTGATCTGTGCCACCTCAGTAGCTAGGATGACAGGTGTGAGGCACTGGCACCTGGCTCTCATTTTTTAAACCTCTTAGTTGTAAACATCCATGTTGCTGTGGAACTTTAA